CAAAGAAAGAATATGTTAAAAATTTCGAAAGAATATTTTCAAACTCATGGCAATATACTTTTATTCTTTACTAAATTTAGCATGTCGTTAATCTTTTGTTTGTAAAAATTATACGGTTGTTTATGTTTGGGTTATCATCAAACAAAGAGGAATAAAGATGACCATAGAGGTATTTATGTTTACTAAATGATACCCTATGCGGCATTGGTGCCGCCGCGTACCAGAGATAAAGTCAATGACAAGATATCTGTTGTCGTCCCTTCCCCAACCTTGGTGTTAGGAGGATACAAAAGAAGTGAATGGAATGTTGGTGATTTTAGTGTCACCATGTTATTTTATGTAATTAGAACTAACATGTGAGCTAATGGGCTTCATATTTTGTACCCTAATATATGTACGGGTATGTGTGGAGTGCACGCATGTATAAGATCGAATTAGAAGCCGATTCGACGACTAGTCGGGGGTCCGGGGTTTCGAAAGGGGCAGCGCCCCTAGCGGGGTCCAAGGGGTAGAACCCCTGGCTGGGGTCAAAAATTCTTCGAATTTTACATATGAAACCTAGTGGGAAAAACGAATTCTTGAGGGTAATTATGGTAAAACTGACGAAATTCGTTAGTTTTGGAAACCCTAAATCCTCATTAAATTCAAGATTTCATGACTTGCTTTCAAAGCAACCCATGAAGGCCAAACCCTAAGAGGCAAACTCTAATCTCGTTTATTATATAAACGGCTCTTCTCTTTGAGAAGAGACACACGCATATTAGCTCTCTTTTCTTCAGACGAACAATGAATCCTTCTAGCAATTTGGCTTACGATTTCTGTGCCTAGATTCGAAAGTGTCCTCTTGGATTATCCTAGGCTAAATTTCTTGCAACCCATGCATAGGGTAGAAATACTAGTTCGGAAAGTGTTCACATGATCCAAGGGGTATCCAGAACTCCAACATAAACCCTAATTCCTCCAACCTGGAACATTTGGCGAAAGGTCCTCGCTATTAATTGATCAAATAAAGAGTCTTTTCCCAATGCTCAGATCCATAAAAGGTGTTATTAACAAAAGCATGTTTGTTCCAAACATCCAAGGATGTTTATATATCTATTGGTTTGATGATATCTAGGTGGAGGTGCATCGGAGACTAATCATTCAAACGAGTTATTATCGACCAGAGGGTTAGATATTCATTCCTAGTTTTTTTTTGACAAAATGGTAAATATTTAGGAAATACATCAGTACGTGACTTGTTTTTTTGTTAAATAAAATTTTGAGTTGATTAGATTCAACAATATGTATCAATTTTGTAACATCCTGTTTTGGGACGTTTCTTAATTCAGGGTTTCTGGACCGTAATTCGACCATGTAAGACCTTGGGTTTCAAGGGAATGAATTTTAGACTCTTTTGGATGTTGATGGTCTTGGATAAGTAATTTACACCTTGGATTGTTCGTTGGAAACTGAGAGGTAAAGTGAGAAAGGTTATGCTTCAGGCTTCTTGCATAAATTAAGGATTTTAGTTCTAGACGTTTTTAGTCATAAGTAACTAGATAGAGTTGTGGAGCTCGTCAGTACCTTTTCATGGATATAAAGATCATCGAAAACAAAGTTGAAACGAAGAAGTTATGGCTGTTTGAAGTTAGGAAAAAGGGAGTTTGGTAGTATGCAGGATGTGGACAAGGGAGTACGCAGGGCGTACATGCTGAGGGTGGGATGCGTTTTTAGTGGAGTACGCAGGGCGTACACAAAGTTACGCAAGGCGTAATTCTGTAGTGTAAAAACCCTAATTTTGGGGTTTTGAGCCCTATTTAAGGTCTCTAGCCCCTTGGGGTCCTTCCTATCATGAGCCTAAACCCTCTTGAGCCTCTAACTCGAAGCCCTAGCCCCCTCTCACTTATTTTGAGCCTTGACATCATTTATGAGCTTATTTCTCCATTAGAAGGTGAGATCTTGAAGAACAAGGTGTTGGCAAAGTGTATGGAAGAAGGATTAAAGCATAAATCCATCAAGACTACATCATTTATGAACCTTTGTGAGTAAAAAGATTCAAACTTGCTCATTAGTTTCATAGATCTTGTTAATTTTCATATTTGTCACTTTTTGGTCACTTTAGTGCATAAAGTTTAGATCTTGAAAGTTTGTGACCTTGTTATAGATAAAGTTGGAAACTTTATCCATCTAAACATCATATTGATTCAGATATGAAGGTTGGAGACTTAGACTTAATGGATTAAATTGAGAAGGATGCATTTTTGGTCCATTTGAGACTTAAAGACTAAACCTTGGTTATTTGGATCATCTTAATGGATAAACTAGGAAACTTTATCCATTATGGAGCTATTAGAAACCATAAAAATGTGATCTTGGTCCTTCTATTCCCTCCATGCAAGAGTTATGATGTCTTAATGGATTATTAAGTTAGAGTTTTAGCTTTTGGAGCTTTTCTAGCCATGGAAAGTCATACAGGTGGAAACTTTATGACTTAGAACGATGTTTTGGGTCTAGATGTGAATTTGGATGAAAAGTCTTTAAGGAATAAGCACTTAATGAGAAGATTTGGACCCAGGCGGAGTACGTTGGGCGTACCAAGAGGTACGTTGCGCGTACTGGGTTAGAACCTCGTGGTTTGGGTGAGTCATGACTACGACCAACGTAGTGATTGAGTACGCATGGCTTACTCAATCATTTTGACTTTTGGACTTGACTTTGCCAAAATTTCAACTAAGTTTGACTTAGGGGTATTTTGAGCAGTAGTTTGAGACTAGGTTATTGTTTGTTGTATAGGTGACCTGTAGAGTCAGCAGTTGGAGTTGTGATCTGTTCAGCTATCTTTTCAGACAGTGATGTGAGTTTTCCTGACTATACTTGTGGGTTGCAGGCACCAATGTCGGCTCACTAAATTATGTATCTTGGTATATTGGATTGATGTTATGCTGAGTATTTGTTAGACTTGTAGATTTGTATGATTACCTATGTTCACTGAATATGCGTTATATTGGTAGATCTGTATGATTACATGTGTTGTTGGTTATTGATTGTTATTGTAGATGTGGACATGTTATGGTTTGTTGGGTTGAGGCGGTCCTGCTTTGTGCTGAAGGCCAAGATACCCGGGGCGGTAATGATAGACTGAAGGCTTGCGAGGCGGTCCAGTCAGGCCGAAGGCCTAAAGATCGGTCCAAATAGGCTGTAGGCCCTGCGAGGCGGTCCAGTCAGACAGAAGGCTCATATTTGCATGTTGTTATTGTGTGTGGTACTGTGGGGGAACTCACTAAGCTTTGATTTACAGTTTAAGTTTTATGTTTCAGGTAGTTCAGATGATCGGTGCAAGGTAAAGACTTGATCGTGCACATCCTCAGTTTTTATGAGATTTGATTTTGGGATACTCTGATTTGTGATTTTGACTTTTGGAAACTAAGTTTTGTAAGCATTTATGCTTTGTGGTTTGGTTTTGAAAAATGAAAATTTTACCTTGATTTTTGGGATGTTACGGATTCTATGCAAATCATGTATTATTTGGTAATCTATACAAAATGATTGTAAAAATATTTCAAATCGTTCATGAAAAAATCACATTGATCGAAATAAATGTGTACACATAAAAACTAAAAATGAATGTATACATGTTACAAACGTTTCACTATGAGAACATGTTGATTTGATAACAAATTATTAAAAGATCTAGGACGAATAATTATTTCTCAGACGATGACAAATAATATAAAAGATTAGTTTTTAACACAGTTTCATCCAAATTGCCATAAAATAAATACGTAAATACTTTTTTTTAGACCTTTAAGAACGTTGTTAATCTACCATCTTCATGTTTCAGGAAACCCATGACCACTTCTTCTTGTTTTGATGGCAACCCAAAGATAGCAATTTAGAGACCGTTTTTTGGCCTTTATGTCATCTCCCGACTGTTGGCCAAATCATAAGTAAGAACCAGTTGTAAGGCTTTGTTTATGATCACCCAAGGTTCTAAATAACGTGAGGCGTGAGCTTGGCGGCGAGGTCAAAGTTAAGTCATGACAAGCCTTGGCGAGTCATTACGTTTTTTAAGGCGTGACTACTTTATATAAATTAAAAAAGATAAATCATATAATTATTGAATTTTATCAAATATATCAACTTTTTAGAAGTGTTATATTAATATTTAGTATCAAAAAGTTAACAAAAACTCAGTTATCTTAAGACCGATCAGAAAAAACAAAAAAAAAAAAAAAACAAAAAAAACTCGCGCCTTGAAAAAAACTCGCGTCATAACACGATAAGGCACGCCTTGACACGTTAGTTGGGCGTCACGCTTAACAAACCCGCCTTGGACGTTTTCGTAACGGCTAGGTCATGTCTCGCGCCATGGCACGCCTTGGGCGCGCCATGACGCGCTTTTTAGAACCATGTGATCACCTAGTCGTTGAGACAAAGCTTTCATCCACTCGCGAGACAATTATTTCGGGCAGATGTTACATGTCATTGCCGTGCAACTGTCTTTTGACCGATTCTTTTTACCAACTCTTGGTTTGATAATAACTTAAACATAAATATACTTAATTTTACAAACTGCACATTTTAAATTAAAATTATATGTGCAGTTGAAATACAATTATATATCATTCAACATCAATGTACTATTTAGACGACATTTAGGAAAATTTAAAAGTCAAAATATGCATTTGAATTCATATAAACGACACCATTATATATATGCCAAAACTCATATTAAATCCCAATTTGCATGTTTTTATTATCAACAATATCGACATGGATCCATAGCTTTCCCAAATATTGCTTTAAATAAAACCATATTATTATGTTTATAGTTATTGAGTGTTTTCTTTTCTTTGAATAAAAATATACTAAATAATATATAGAAAAGGAATATTATTAAACAAACAACAAAAAAGGGGAATATATAGAATTGAATACAAAATCCAAATTCATGTTTCTCCTCTTTTGCACCATATCATCATCATCGTAATCAACCCCAACCCCCACCCCCACCCACCCCACTTCCCACCCCCCAAAAAAACACACACAAATACACATAATCACACTCTCTCTTTACCATCTCTGTGTAACTGAAGCCTCCGTCGCAGGCGCTTCCTTTTCCCCGTAGAAAACCCACTGTCGGCTGCCCTTTTCACACCTTTTTCTTCTCTGTTCTTCATCCAACATCCAATTAACTTCGCACAATAAAGCACCATCTAATCATAATTAACTCCTCACTCCTCGTGATTTGTACCTCCGTCTCTTTCAAGGACCACTGTGTCTGTCCCCATTTTCATATATACATTCACTCTTTTCTGTTTTTTATTCACTTGGTGGAGTAATTTCATGATATGATGTGGGTTCGGGTGTTTATTTCACAATTTTCTTGTGAGTTTGTGTTTTAGAGGTTTGTTTTTGAATCATTCGTTTCGGAAGAATTCAACCACCTGAGAGAAATGTCACGCTCTCTTTGTTTTGTTTCATTTTTCTTGTTCTTGATGCGTTTTGGTCTTTGTTTGAATCAAGAGGGGCGTTATCTGGAACAGCTGAAGCTTGGATTTGATGACCCAGATGGGTTTTTCTCCGACTGGAATGATTCCGCCGGCGATACCCCTTGTTATTGGATCGGTGTTACTTGTTCTGAATCAGGAACTCGGTTTGTTGTCTCTGTTGATTTATCAAATGCCAATGTCGCCGGTCCTTTTCCGTCTGTTCTCTGCCGTCTTTCAGGCCTGAAGTTTGTCTCTCTTTACAATAACTCCATCAACGGCACACTTTCCGACGATCTGTCGACTTGTCGGAGTCTTGTTCATCTTAATCTTGCTCAGAACCTGCTCACTGGTACACTCCCGCACAGCTTGCCCGAGCTTCCAGAGCTAAAGTACCTTGATTTAACAGGAAACAACTTTTCCGGCAACATTCCGGCGAGCTTCGGGTTGTTTCAGAAGCTTGAAGTGATTTCTTTAGTCGATAATCTCATCGACGGGAAGATTCCAGCTGAGCTCGGTAACATTTCGACGTTAAAGCAGCTTAATTTATCATACAACCTGTTTTCTCCCGGTCAGATCCCGCCGGAGCTCGGAAACCTTACGAACCTCGAGGTGTTATGGCTCAGCGGCTGCAACCTTATCGGATCGATTCCCGACTCTCTGAGTCGACTCAGTAAACTCGTGGATCTTGACCTTGCTATTAATAAACTCACCGGTCCGGTGCCCATTTCGATTACCGACCTATCAAATGTTGTTCAGATTGAGCTTTACAACAACTCCTTCACCGGTGAGTTACCGGCGGTGGGGTGGTCGAAGATGACGGCATTGCGGCTGCTTGATATTTCGATGAACTTATTCACTGGGTCGGTGCCGGAGGAGCTATGCTCTTTGCAGCTTGAATCGCTTAATGTTTATGAAAACGAACTCGGAGGTAACTTTCCTGAAATCATATCGAACTCTAGTAATCTTTATGAGTTAAGATTGTTCGGAAACCGATTTTCCGGCAGCCTGCCGAAAAACCTTGGAAAAAACTCACCTCTTACATGGCTAGATGTGTCTAACAATCTTTTCTCCGGTGAAATTCCTGCAACCTTATGTGAAAGGGGTGCTTTAGAAGAGCTTCTAATGATACACAACTCGTTTTCCGGTGAAATTCCGTCGAGTTTGAGCAAATGTAGGAGCTTGAAACGTGTCCGTTTAGGATACAACAAGATTTCCGGCGAAGTTCCCGCAGGTTTCTGGGGTCTTCCCATGGTGTCATTACTCGAGCTCGCTGAAAACTCCTTCTCAGGCACAATCGGAAAAACCATCGCCGCAGCAGGGAACTTGTCAACCCTGAACATCGCCAACAACAAATTCTCCGGCGATTTACCAGATGAGATCGGGTTTCTCAACAATTTAATCGAATTCTCCGGTAGTAACAACCAATTCTCCGGCTCATTACCTGCCACCATTGTTAACATTCACCAGTTAACCAAGCTCGACCTCCACAACAATGGATTCTCAGGTCGAATCCCAACCGGAATCAATTCTTTGAGAAAACTAAACGAACTAAATCTAGCAAACAACAAATTTTCCGGCAACATCCCAGACAAAATCGGCGAATTATCCGTCTTAAACTACCTCGACCTCTCCAGCAACCAAATCTCCGGCAAAATCCCAACTGGATTACAAAACCTCCGGCTAAATCAACTCAATCTATCAAGCAACAGTCTCACCGGAGACATCCCACCAGTATACGCCAAAAAAATCTACATCAACAGCTTCTTAGGCAACCCGGGTCTCTGTGGCGACATCGAAGGTTTATGCGACGGAAAAAACGTCACTAAAAACACCGGTTACATTTGGTTACTCCGTTCCATTTTTGCCCTCACTGGTATCCTTCTAATCTTCGGTCTTTGTTGGTTCTACTTTCGTTACAAAACCTTCAAATCCAATAAAGAAGCAACCACAATCGATAAATCAAAATGGACCTTAATGTCATTTCACAAGCTAAGTTTCAGCGAATACGAAATCTTGGGAGCTTTAGATGAAGACAACGTGATCGGAACCGGAGCTTCCGGAAAAGTTTACAAAGTCGGGTTAAGCAATGGTGAAACTGTCGCGGTTAAAAAGCTTTGGGCCGGGTCAAAACCGGGTGGGTTTGACGATGAGGATGTTGAAAACGGGTTCTCGGGTCCGGGTCATGATAACGGGTATGAAGCTGAAGTGGAAACATTGGGAAAGATTCGACATAAGAATATTGTTCGATTATGGTGTTGTTGTTCTACAAGAAATTGTAAGCTTTTGGTTTATGAGTATATGGTGAATGGAAGTTTGGGGGATTTGTTACATAGTAGTAAAAGTGGGTTGCTTGATTGGCCGGTGAGGTATAAGATTGCGGTGGACGCCGGCGAGGGGCTGGCGTATTTGCACCATGATTGTGTTCCGGCGATCGTTCATCGGGATATTAAATCGAATAATATTTTGTTGGATGCTGATTTTGGAGCACGTGTGGCTGATTTTGGAGTTGCTAAGGTTGTTGATGGGAACGATAAAGCAGGAAAATCAATGTCGGTTATTGCGGGCTCATGTGGTTATATCGCTCCAGGTAATTTCATACTTTTGCTTATTCACGAATGTATAAATTTTAATGCATCATGTACAAGTTAACCATGCACAAGCCCATCGGATTATCTTATCAAAATAGCTTGTACTTTCCTTTATCTCTAGGGAATGTTTAGATGGTCCACTTTACCAATAAGGATCTATCACAAATGTACAACTTTCATTGCAAAATGTACAGTTCAATAATGCATGGGATCTTGTATCCAAACAAAGGCATTTATTGTTACCTATATCCAAAGAAAACTTTGCACTTTAATGCATAGGGTACAAACTAGTGTAGCATATTGTACAAGTTGGTAAAATATGATTGCTAATCTTTTTTAACTTTTGTGTTTACAGAATATGCATATACATTACGGGTGAACGAAAAGAGCGATATCTACAGCTTTGGTGTTGTAATTCTCGAACTGGTAACTGGAAAACTTCCAGTTGACCCAGAGTTCGGAGAAAAAGACCTGGTCAAGTGGGTCTGCACCACGTTAGACCAGAAAGGTCTTGACGTGGTGCTCGACCCAAAACTTGACTCATGTTTCAAGGAAGAAATATGCAAAGTGTTGAATATTGGGCTCTTATGTACAAGCCCACTTCCTATTAATCGCCCATCAATGAGAAGAGTTGTGAAAATGTTGCAAGAAATCGGGTCGGTAAATCCTATGAAATTTGGGTCAAAAGACGGGAAATTAACGCCATATTATTATGATGATGTGTCGGATCATGGTAGTGTTGTTTGAAGTCTTGTGGGATTGATCTGTTTCTTGATGCAGTGATGAGTTGTACGGTACAAGTTGTCGTGCGGTTGTTTCGGGAGATTGGTTTCCGTTTATGGATGTTGAAAACGGGTTGTGGGCCGGGTCTCTTTTGTTGTAAATCCTTGGGTTTTTAGTGCATTGACGAGTTGTACTGTACAATCAATGGAAGCATGAAAGAGGGTAGGAGTTGTTGGGTTTTGGTGTGGAGAGGGATAATGAGTTTTGGTTTGTAAGGTGAATTATGTAATAGTTAGGAAATATACAAGTGTTGGCATTTATATTTTGCTTTCAAAGTATCATTATTATTATTGTTTACGAAAGTTAAAATATGTTTCCTCATATATATTTTAGATAAAGTACTCATTTTTTATTTGTTTATCATCAATAACCATCTTTACCATTTATTTTCTATTTTGATCTTTCTATTCTTTTATGTCTTGGTACGATAAAGTCGCATGTAGTTTTTAAGAAAGAAGTGCTAAATTAAGATATTAAAATTCAAATTCTTAAATATACATGATCTAAAACTAAACATTAAAAACAACTTTTTATAAAATACCTCAAGATAATCATGTAATTGTCTCTAAAACAGTCAAACTCTCCACTTCAAACAGTCTTGATTTTAGATGTATGATAAATAAATAAATAAGAAGACTTACGCATATACAGAACATATAATATTTTCTATATTTTTTTTATTAATATTAGATTATAATATATAACCACGAAGTTCAAAATTTGAAATATTCATAAGAATATTGAGTATTTTCAAATGAAATACATTTATTGGAATGTCTAGAAATAAATGCAAATCTTGTTGGTGTAGTATATTTATTAATCATGCTATTTCATTATTATTAACTACTACAGCATTGATGTCGTAGGGTCGTTCATCGAATTTGAATCGGATCAAACTTAAGCAGTGAAACAAGGTTTCAGAATAAAAGAATGAACTTATTGAGTCAAAAAACCAGTTTGCTTTCTAATTGCTTTATATTAAAACTAGGTGTGAGACCCGTATATTATACGGGTTAAATTTTTTAAAAAAATTATACATTAAAATGTAAACAGTAAACATTTTTTAATGTAAAACTTTAAAATAAGAAAAGAAGAAACATATTGATTGCAATTTAATTTCATATATAGTATATTTAATACCTTACATATATATAAATATATGACTTTTAATTTTAAAATTTGAAACAAATTAGAAATTGACAAGTGGATAATATTTATTTCAAAAATACCACAAAATAACAAGTGTCAAAACTCATGATAAATTGACAAGTGGCAAAAAAAAACCTTCATTTATTAAAGAGTATTTTAGAATATTAAAAATGGTTAGATTTCAAAACAATACTATTAACTTAAGCAAAGGAAAAAATGATCAAGTAAAGCAATACATATTTTTAATCCATTTAAGAGAATATCCGGCAACAATAGTAATTTAAAAATCCAATTGAACCAAAAATAATTAAAAAAAAATATTACTTATAAAGTAGATGAAATGGTGCAAATTTTACATTCTTTTTGTTGTTACATAGATATCATTGTTCTATCTCTGGTCTTCCCAATGGGTAGTTTGGCACAGGATTTTTTCTTTTAATAAAACTAAAATTAAATTATATAAAACTAATTAAATGATATAAAACTAAATTTTTTTATTAAAATTAAAAAGACAAGTACACTTGAAATTAAATAAAACACAAGACACTTAAAATTAAAATATATGAAACACTAAAACATGAAAAATAACACTTTATTCATTTTTCTCTCTCATCGGCTGGCCATTGCCGAGTCAAGCCTCTGAACTCGGCATGCTGAATAGAGGGTGCGGTGTGCGTTCGTTGAATCCACTCCGTCTAACCTAATAACCGAATATTATTAAAATGGTAATAATTTTTTTTTGGTTAACCGATTAAATTTGATATCTAGTCATAATGTACCAATACTCGCTTTAATGTCTCAATGCAATAATATCAATGGGCACAGTTCTTTATTAAAAGCAAATGGTTAGCCACAACAAGTCAACAATGGCTTCTGTGAGAGCAGAGCCTAAAATGACATAATGATTCATTGAAACAATTTAATAAAACCTCCATAACGTCTTTAAACATCATTTCGGTCTATAAACTGGAAGTAGGATTGTTATTCTAATACTAAATTCATCATAGACGTCGAAATCATATTTAGTAGAAATTCCCTTTAGTAATCGATTAATTATGATATATGGTTTGTATTTAATTTGGCTTACATCAACCGAAGAAACAAGTAATCTATTCGTGTTGTTTGTTGTGTTACTGTTGTGTTCTTAGATGGAAGCAACGAGTAAAGAGAACCGATATCTGAATTTAAGGGATGAACTGATATTGATGTTGATAACAAAAGCAATTAACCAGTTATTGATGTGAGTGACCAAAATGTTGGGAATAAAGTGAATGTTTGTCCAACCAATGTTTTAAAAGCCGGGTTTTTAGTTGGCCCGGTGTGATGACCGGTTCACGGGTCAACCGGTTCAACCGGTTGAACCGCCGGGTCAACCCGGTTTATGATCTTTTTTTTTATTTTCATATATTTTTACTTTCCTCATAATGCATAGACATATAAAATCAATAATTTGATGTCCTCAAAGTTTAAACTTTGAAAAAATATCAAAACATGTTATAGATTGTGCTTGTAATGGTTCTTCTTCCCTTGATTCCATATTTAACTGCATTGAAAAGCAATGTTACAATCAATAAACATATCTTAATTGGATCCTAATTACATAATCTACACAATAGGAAACCTTGAAACAGTGATCAATTAACAATAAATAATCAGTAAACTAACCAAAACCGTCACCTTCACAGTCGATAGGAGAAAAAGCATCAACTAATCGATCCAAACCCTATCAAAACGGGTCAATCCGGTTTTAACCGGTTCGAATTAAACGGTTCGACCGCGGTTTAGGGGAAACCTGGCCGGTTCGATCCGGTCCGTATTTTTACAAAAAACCGTTCTCAATTGACCCGCCTTCTACCCCGGGTCACGGTCCAACCGGTTGAACCGGCCGGGTCGACCCGGGTTTTAAAACATTGTGTCCAACTACTTAATGTGGGAACATTTTACTTTTATATATGGTAAGTGAAATGAAGTTATTTCCCAATTTTAATGGATAGAGGTAAAAAGAAGAATGGTATGAGAGCTACATCATGTTAGAAATCTATGTGTTTCGATTGTTTGGATTCACTAAGAGTCGTGATATACTTTCAGATTGAAATATTTCGATGGTACAATCAAAATTTCAATTAGATAAAACTCAGTATTTGACAAAGAGAATGGAGAGTTATGATTCTTGTACCTGATTCCAGAATGACCAAAAATAGGAAGATAACCCAGGGTTTGAAATTGCCGAAAACTGTCGTATCAAGTTACATAACCACGTACAACTGTTATAAAATATGGTCTAAAATTAGGGTCAAAAAACCCAGCCAAGGGATCTGCCCCTTGGACCTCGTTACCAAGGGCGCTGCCCCCGGACCCCCGTGGTTTAGTGGTTACGCCCTTGAATACTAGTGTACTTTACATCATAATAAACTCAAACAAGTGTGCACTCGCACCACCCTTACTTGTTCAGTATTTATTAAGATTACATTGGTCAACAAGTTCATCCCATTATACTTAAATAATATTGGTGATACAAATCATCAACAATCCTTGCCCACTTAAGTGTAATCTTGATTAACTTAAAGCAAAGTCATAACAAATAACAAATTGATGCATAACTAAAATGTCATAATGATTGAATTTCATATTAGTATATTACTCATTCCAAACATTTAAATATCATGGTATCACTAAGGATTGAACACTTTCTATTCATAGTGAATATACGAAGATAATACACACAACAGTTTACATACTCATATGTTCTAAGTTAACACTATATTTAATAGCTTGTGTCCTATCCTTCAATAGGCATATCAAATCTAAGTCCCAAACTTCTTGAATCGGCTAAACTTCATGCTTTTATAGGTAGTACTTGAAAACACTGAATTCACAACTGTAAACACAAAGTTTAGTGAGTTCCCTAAAGTATCGCATACAACACACACATCAAAACATATATAACAATTATGGGTTATCAACAACCCTATGGACTATCAACAGGCCTGAGTTATCAACCATTCAAATGCAATAATTTGGGTTATCAACAACCCCGAGCTATTAGCAAGTCACATGCAGCAACTTAGGTTATTTACAATAAATACTCAATACCCAAGTAGGCTTATAAAATAGATCGTGATATGATCAATTGCTTTAAATTGGGTTATCAGCAACCCCGAGATATCAACAACTCACATACAGAAAATTGGGTTATCAATAACCCCAAGCTATCAGTATCTCACATACAACATATGATATAAGTAATGTAACGCTCGTAGATCTGGGCTAGTCAATTTAGAGACAATGAGCATCAAAAATGAGTTTTCGATGGAAGATTATTTAGAAGGATTAATCTTAACCAAGTTATAGTATATGTTATAAGGGTTCCATACATATAAAGAACGCCGAAATCCGAGTTATAACGAAGAAGTTATGGCTCGTCGAAGTTTTACGGCGAAACCGACACGACACCGCGTAACGTAAAAAGTGAATTTTTGATAAAATTATTTTTAGCCTTAGATATCTAAATTAAATTTGTAATATACATTAAACCAAGAGTGTGCATAAAAATAAGGTCAAAATCTGACTTCGTATGAGGAAGTTATGATTTTTCTAAGATTTGGCATAGCAGTGCACAGCCCGAAATTCGAATTTTAGATCGATCGATTTTTGGCCAATGCAACCTAAATGAGAATTGAAGATCTCATTAATAGTAGCGCAACGGTAAAAAGACAGACGAAAACGGACGTCGGATGAAGAAGTTATGAATTTTTAACGGACTTTTCCTGTCCCGGCCTGTTAAAAATACAACTTTAAAAATAAAGTCAAAATTAGCCAACAGAGTCTAAATGAAAGTTGTTGAGTACGTCTCCACCTACGCGTGGATATAAAGAGCATCAAAAACGGAGTTCATATGAACGAGTTACAAATTATAATAGCATATTTACGTATTAAAATAAAGTATAAATAATATATACGTACACATATATATACATATGTATATATCATTAGAAAGGTATCGACGATGCGGTCATTATAAGACTAGTGTTGAATACTTTCGACATTAGTTTAGTACAAATATCGTTAAATCTATTTAAAATAGTATTATAAAGGGGTGTTTAGTTGTT